CGGAACTACAAGTTTGGTTCACCAGTTCGGGGTTTCCCTACAGGGTACGCACCCCAAGCATGCAGAGCGCCGCTCTTAGAGCGGTGACAACACACACATACATACATAGTATAAATCGCGTGCTGTGGTGTTGATCGATATTCAACATTTGAAAGCAAATTTATATGCCTGGGTGTAGCTAAGTGCGCAAAGATGCTTGCCACAAGTTGTTGATATCCGGAGACGGTCGGGTTCGAATTCCACTGCAGGCAACATGCAAATAAATTTTTTTTTTTTAGTTTTTGTCTGATTATTCTTCACGGATGCCGTTTCAGTACGAACGCGTAATTGAATTGAATATTTACCAATATATGTATCTACAGTACTTTCGTGGATGTTTATAGTAAGATCAATTACGTTTCTATTTGATTTTAATATTTTTTTTTCCCTCAGTGTATATGCAATACTGGCCAAGAAAAGGAGTTTCTATTATTGCCATACGTGCAAATTATAAATCCCGAAAATACCGGGACTGACATTCCTAGTACATACATATCGTCGTTTAAAGTACAAAACCGCGTATCGTCATTCTGCAAAACCGCGTATCTGACATTGGCTGCCAAAAATTTGATTTGCTAACACAAGCTCTTGGCTAAATCCTTATCCATTCGTCCTGAAATATACTAGCCAGAAATGCGATTGCTTTATAAAAAAAAGAACCATTTTGAAATATGAGTGTTTTTACGCTCTAGAAAATAATTTTTACAACTTCACATACGCGGTTTAAACGACGATATGTATGTATGTATGTATATACATTCAAATTTTGTTGTTTCGACAGAAATATATTTCTTTGGTTCGAGTGAAAATAAAAACAAACGAATGAAATGACGGCGAGAGAAATTTTCAAAAATGCTAGCAAACGTCAAAATTCCTAAAGTTGGCTCTCAGCCATGGTTACAATCAAAATGTATTCAACAAAGTGTGATTGAATTTGACATTGCTCTCAGAAGAACCATCCTATAAAGTCAAATTGAAACAATTTTGTATGAATTTTCAATCGATTGTTTATATTTTTTGGCATAATAGTACCTTAAAAGAGAGCCTACCTGTGTTGTCAATCACACCTTGTTTAATACACCTTGGTTACAATTGAAAAGATTCTTTCATAATCTGCGCTTGAATTGGTTATAGGGAGAAAAATTTCAAAATTGTAGTTAAAATTTTTAATACTTATACATAATTTTACTCAACGACTAATTATGTAAGTGTCGAATATTTTTGAATATTGATTAATTATGCATCGATAATTGCATTAGTCGGCCGCCGTGGTGTAATGGTAAGCAGTACGCGCTTTCACTCACTAGCACCTGGGTTCAAGCCCTGGTCAAAGCAACATCGCAAAAAATTTAGAGCGGTCGTCCCTCGACAGGCAATGCCCAACCTCCGAGTGTATTTATGCCATGAGAAACAGCTTCTCATAAAAATACAATCGCCGTTCGGAGTCGGCGTAAAACTGTAGGTCCCTACGCTTTGTGTGACAATATCAAGGCGCACGCCATAAGTTGGAGGAGAAGCTCGGCCAAACACTAACATATGTGTAAGCGCCAATCCATTATTCATTATTAATTGCATTAAATGAAAATCCTTTTTTTATTTTATGTGTCCCTTTTTTCCCTTTTAATAATTTTTGCTGCAAAATATCCCTTAAATAGGGAAATTACCCACAACCTGGCATCACTGGCTTTCCATTTGGCCTCAGTTGACACAGAAGAGAAACAACTGACGCGCTTTGTTGACCTCGGCCAAAAACCGCTTAGGCGGTTACAGCGCCGTATAAGAAGAATAAGTGAAATGCCTAGAAGAAGGTTGAAGAGTCTTTTTCCTACCCCTATTTACGGCATTATTTCGATTTCTACTAAAGCTAAGAGTTTAGGTGTGCAGTAAAATTTTATGGAAGTCTACTTGGGACCTCGAAAGCCTTGACAGCATTCTAGTAATATGAACAGATCTTCATTAACAGAGGAATCCTATGGATTTGTGCGGTGGTGGAGCGATCACGCAATCAATAGCTTGGGCAATTTACTTACCAAACTTCAAAGAACGATTGCCATGTGCTGTATGTGAGCTTTCACTAGAACACCTGGGACTTCTCTGGTGGGACTGCTAAACCTACTGTCTTCATCCACGGGGTGACCTTTAAGGCCAAGTGTAGACTTGAAAGAAATAGCTGCTAATTTGGTGCAGTACTGTAGACAGAGATCTAGACGTTAATGTCTTTTTGATGCCACAGAAAGTAAGCCATCACTGGTTTCGCGGAAGAGATACTATTGCAAAATTTTAAGTGCCGGCTTAACCTCTAGGCCCGGGCTTACATACTGTTTCTGTTTCAGGATGTGGAGTCTATATTCAACAGTATGCCATGGACTATGTGGCTGAATATTGGTGAAGAGGTAGGAGTTTAAGTGTTTGTAGTGACAGCCAAGCTGCACTTAGGATATTGGCTGACTAACTAAGTACTTCCAAGCCTGGGCGGCAATTTTGGGAGCGCGTTGATTTTTGTCAGTTTCGACAAAAAATTACTAAATCTACTTATGAAAAGATTTACGTACCTGCAATTGTCTATTTTGTTCGGCCGTGAGCCGAGTGCCGCCCGTTGGCACGGCTGCTGCACTCGAGGTAATCGAAGCATTTGGCGATGGATGATCCTGATCAGTTTTTCGCACAAACTTAAGCATATCTTGTTGATGCTGCTGCTGTTGCTGCTCCACCTGTTGCTGGCGATACTGCTGTTGTTGTTGTTGTTGATGTGAGTTGTAAAAGTATTGCGGATTCGCGACACTGCCTGTTAGTCGTGTGGGTTGCCGCTGCGAAAGTGTTTGATGCGTTTGCAAGTAGCGACCGCTGCCACCAGGTAATTTCAGTGAATCTGGTATATAGACAGGCGACAGTTGCGGTATATCCGGTGGATATTTAAGATTGAAGTGCGTTGTATCGAAATTTGACGTGGTTTGATGCTTATTGCCAACTGCGGACGGACGTTGGCCAAGCAGGGTTTCCACACTTTCAGCACCGCCGCCGCTGCTACGCAAATTACTTATGTGCTTCAATATGCCAGCCTGGTTACCTGCTGGTTGGGGTGGCGGCTGATACCGCGGCGGTATGGAGTGTGCTGGTGCCTTCAAATGATCGGCGGCCTTAAGCGCCTGCAGATTGTATGCGTTGCGCTGTTGCTGTAAGGTGACGGAATTAGTGGACAAAGGTGCGCTGGTAATTGTGCCGTCACTTTCGCTACTCAAATGCTTCGATGTCGCCGGCTGATGGTGGCGATGATGATCCTTCACGTTATTCGAGGATGTGGGATGGTGCTGCTGTGGTTGTGCGGCTTTTGTAGTACCGCTGGGAGCGATAGTTGCCTCCGCCGCGTGCTGTTGCGAGTGATGATGGTGTACGGTGGCAATGGTTTGAAGTTGGTGTGAAGGCAATGTGGAGCTGCTTGAGTATTTCGTAATTGTGTTGGCTGATGGCAATACCGAGGAATTCGTCGTCACGCTTTGCTGTTGCTGTTGCTGTTGCTGCTGCTGATGATGATGTTGCTGTTGGAGTGAGCGTTGCGTTGTGCTAGGAGCTGGGAGCGAGCGACGTGATTGTGGGGCTTGTAATTTGCTAGAAATCGCAGCAGAAAATTGCTGTTGTGTTATTTTGTCGCAGTCGTTGCTATGTGATTTCGGGTTATTAAGGGAGATGGCGTTGTTATTGTTGGTTGTGGTGGTGTTGGCACCAGCTGGCAGAGTAGACACTTCTATGTTTTTTGTTGTATTTGTACTTAAAAACTTTTCACTCAGTTTGTTTATGGTATTGTTATTTGTATTGATGTTGTTGTTGTTGTTGTTGTTGTTAGTAATACCAGACATTTTATTAGACGTCTTAGTCATTGCTTTCAAAGCAATCGTCGTTTGTTTACGTTGTAGATGGGTATTCTTGACCCCAATGCCTACCAATAGTCCTCCGCTGGTTTAGACATTTTTAAGTAATTCTGATAAAAGGAGAGAAAAATTAGATTTAGCAACATTACCACATATTAAATCCGTACTAAATTTATGAATCTGAAAATCCGAGAAATAGTCAACCAAAAATAGAAAAAATGCATGCAATTCAAATTCTCGCATTTTTGTATCAAAAATGGCATAGTACCATATATATCAATTTCGTATTTCTTTTCACACTTATTTTAGAAATCTGATTTGCCCCTTTCACTTCCTGTTTCAATAACGTCCGGACACAAATTTCGAGTACAAATACACTACCGTTAATTCAAATTAAAATTTCCATTATTTTGCTCTCACAAGTACTTTTTTAAACTTCTCATTTTCGTTGTTGGTGTTTCCGACAGGGTAAAAGTGTGATGTTACGCCGAAATGGGTTTGTCTCCAAACTAAATTTGACAAGGGATGACGGAAAATCGTTCCACATTACATCACTTCTTTAAACCTTCTAATACAACAATTTTTTAACTTATCATTTTTGCCGATAAAAAATTAAAAGAGGAAGATTAACGTATTACCTGCTTCTGAAATAAAAAAGGACACTATGGCATTTCTAATAATTATTAGTTTTAGTTTTAGTTTAATTATAATTAATCATCGACGAAAATCACATTACCTAAGATAAATGAACATAAATTAAGGACAAAAACTCGAACCAGACAGAAAGCGAAATGACGCTGAAGATGGCACAATGCCGAAACCGGTTTGTCTGCAAACCAAACTTGACAAGGGATGATGGAAATTCGTTCCAAAATAAATTAAAAGAAACTTCCGAACGTAACTTCCACAAAGCTAGGATTTGCACAAATGTGAAAGTTAGTAGGGGTATTCTCTGAGTCTTGCAAAGCCCTTGCATGGTGCACAGATTGCACGGATTGCACGGTAAAAACCGGTTTTCGTATGGGCAGCTTTGCAAACCGTGCGATCCGTGCACCGTGCAAGGGCTTTGCAAGACTCAGAGAATACCCCTAGTGTGTTTGTTCGTTACGCTTTAACTACTCAAGCGAGCATCGTGAAATTTTGCACACTGGTGTCACTTAGCCTGCCGTATATTATAGTACAGCCTTTATCTCGATTAGACAAGGGGACGTGGCACATCCCATACAAATGGGAGTTTTCATACTGCATATCCCTGGAGGTACATATTTGTGGTACCATAGATGCGCATGGATAAAAATGGACGTTAGCGGAGAGAGCAGCGTTGCACCTCACATACAGAACTAAATGTAAAAAATAAAATTCAACTTGAATTAAAGGAATTAAGTATTTGAAATATTTTATTACAATGTGGGTGTCAGACGAAAGATGTAAAGAAATCTTTTGTTTGAACATTTAAAATATTTTTTAGGGATTTAGAGAGGGTTCCCACCCATTAAAATATTAAACTTAATTTAAATTATTTATTAAGTTATGTCAACTATTAAAATATGGCTATAAATCAAAATGGTTTAGAAAGGCCAAATAACATTTGAGAGGGTTGCCAACTGTTTAAAAAATCGAATTCAACTTGAATTAAGGAAATTAGGTAATTAAAATATATATAACAATATGGGTGCCATATGGAAGAGTTATAAGAAGGTTGTAGTTTGAAAATATTTGGAGGAGTGCTGCCACCTGTTTTAAAAGTCAAATTTATTCAAATTATACAAAAGTTGAAATATACTAGAATAAGCGTGCCAAACGAAATAGCGTTAAAAAATGTTCAGTTTGAACATTTAGAACATTTTTGAGCTGTTTGAAGACGGTTGCCATCTACTTACAAATTCCTATTTAAATTATTTAATAAGTTAAATGAATTATTACAATATGGGTATCAATAGAAATGGTTTAAAAAGCAAAATTTAATTTGAATTAAGGGCATTAGGTAATTGAAATATGTATCAAATCTTAGGCGCAAGACATTTAAGAAGGGTTAATTTGATTCTCCTATGTTTTTGGTTAAGAGTAAGTTTGTTAAGTTTTATTGAAATAAATTACACCTAACGCTACACGTAGAAATTACATACGTAGGTAAAGTGGGTGAGAGAAAACTAGTAAAAAATAAAAATTTGGAAATTAAACTTTTGTTAAGTGTTTGGCCGAGGTTCTACTCCAATTTGTGTTGTTCATATTGATATTTCTACACAAATGGAAGGATGTGCGGTTTTGCGCCACCTCCGAGGGTAAGCGCGACTTTGTACAGTGGGAAATTTTCCACTAATTTTGTGCAAACATGGCTGGAAGAGTACATTTTTTCCGAATTAAATAAGTTTTTTTAAGTACTTGCAACGGATTTTACAAAACATTGTCTAACCCCGAATTAAAAAAACTATTAAAATTACTAATTAATTTATAATTAAACTAATTAAAAATATATGGCGTATATTCATAGCCGAAATATGTAAAGTGGTCTCTAAAGTTAGTTGCAACGTTTTTGACAGATATTCCATTGAAAATTATGTCAGAAAGCTGTAAATTCCTTAATGGCGACTTATATTTCACCATGAATATACCCATATATATATATATTTTTTTTTTTTAATCAGGATTATGCAATTATTTCTAAAATCTGTCCCAAGTACTGAAAAAAGTCGTTTTTGAAATACATTTGTCGCTAATTCCTCACTGTGCAGTGGGTTTGATCTTCTTACAGGCTTACACTTTTTTTGTTCAAACCAATACAAACACTGAATTCTGTTGATCTGATGAGGTTACCATAGACCATAGCCGAGAGCTTCGTCTATTTGGGAATCATCATTAACAATAGAAAATCTTTTTTGCCAACAAGTAAGCAATTGGGCAGTAAAGTCTAGCCTTGATGGACGAAAATTACACTTTATATATAAATCTTTCATTATTTAGATTTATGGTGAACCGCTGCTTTTATTTTACTTTAAAAAATTAACATTGTATCCTTTATAAATACTCTAAAAACGTGATCGGAGTTAATATATTTATCACATATTATTGTTGGTATCTAAACAAGTAAGTTTACGATATTTATTAAAATACTACATTAAAGATGATGTTTCTTTTAGTAGAAAATTTTTAAATTGTTGAGCTACAAAAAAAGGTACCACTTTGGACTTGCCATTGCCATTCGCGGTTGAGCCTTTAGCATAAATTAAAAAATTTAGCTGCGGGTATCTGCGCGTTTACTTTTATTTTAAACCAGTAACCCTTATATATAGCTTAGTTTTCGTTTTTGAAATCACCGTTACGTGGTTTTCGTCCGATTTAAAAACTTTTCAACAATGGTGCTTAACGAAGCTAAGCGCAATGTTTGCACTAAATTTGGTCTATATTAATGAAGTAGTTTTTGAGATATATACCACGCCCATTTTCCTAATATTCTATGAAAAACCAAATTTTCGCTTCGACGATTTTTATCCTATGTCATTAAGTAACCCCCCAAGTTTTAATTTTTGTTGAGATTAAATGATATTTTGAGTATTCAGTCCGTCATATTGGATACGCTATTTCGAGTTTTTAAAATCTGGCATCAAATTTGTAATTAGTTTCAACTTGGTCTTGATTTTTGGCCAGTTTTTTTTTGCTATATGAAACCCTTGTGCGACATTAGGGAAATGTATCTTCGAACTGTTCAGGTTCGTCAAGTACTTGAACTTATAAGTAGTCTATAAATATGTACTTACATATGTATATATTGCACTGTGACCTCCTCAACCAACACCTGAATTTAGACTAGAGTTATTTTTTTTTCAACATTTTATTTCCTAAATTTATTTTAATGTACATAAGTATGTATAATGCCATTTAATTCACTGTAAATATATGTGTTTAGGAATGTAAATTAATGGCCATGTAAGTGTGCTTAAGTTAAATTTTATAAAAATTGTATGTGCTTCACGCTTTGCAATTGAAATAACTATCAAAATAAACATTTAGTACCAATTTCAAACACATAAAGCCCTTACACACGAATGAATGCAAACAAATTAAGAAATAAATTTGGAATGTCGAAACGAAAATTACTACAACATTGGCGTAAATGCAAATTTCAAACCTCGCCTCAAGCGTCACTTCAGTATGATTTTATTTATTTTTTTTTTTAAATCCGATGGCTTATTAAGGGCAAAGAAGAGGAGAGAAAGAGCGAATGTAGAGCGAGTAAAATAGAAAAAATATTAACTACACACCATCTTGCGAAAGCGAAGAGTTAGTAGGTAAGATGGTTTTTATGACCCAATTAGGAAGAAAAACAGGTCTAAGTAGTCAGAAAGGGGAAATCATCGATAATTTGGTAACTATTACATACACTTTTTCAAGATACGCCATAGCAAACTTAAAATATCTGTCTTCTTCCCTTATTGATTGGCACAGCAGAAGGTTAAGCGATTTTGGCCGAATCCAGTAAAGAATGCTATCTTTTTAGCTTCTAAGGCAATTGACATCGATTGCACTTTTTTCAATATAAGCAACAACATTTCAAAAACATCCACACCAGTTATTGTAAGTTGCACTTCTTATATATACAAGTAATTTTTAAGCAAAGAACAAAACCGACTTCAATTCTCATATGAAAAAAAAAAGATCCAATGATCGGATCTCAACCAGATTAATACGGGATCACCTCTGAGACACTACCTTTCCGATCCGAAGAATTATCGGAATCGGTTGACGTGGTTCAAAGTTATGCATAAAAAAAAATATTCCGATGAACTGATAACCTCCTCCTTTTTTGGAAGTCGGTTAAAACAGCCCCGAACCAGTCTAAAAAAAATGTCAAAAATCAACGCGAATTTTTAGCCGGTTGAAACTTGAACATACAAAATGCAGACAAAATGTTCTAAAGATTCAGATTAAAAAGTTGAAATTTTGGCGAAAATTTGTTGAATTTTCCTAAACTTTGTATAAAGTTTGAAACTGTGATTTTTATGGTTTTGGTTAATAAATTTGGGGAATGAAGGGGAAGCTAAGGGGAATGAGGACACTTATGACTTTTTGTAGGACTAATGTCCATTCCCGAGAGCTCTCGCGAGTGCGAAAAAAGTTCGACCCAAGGTGCTTAAACCTTAGGCTCGCAAAGGCAGAGCAGCAGGTGTGGAGATGATTCCACCTCATCATCCTCCAAGCAGCTGGTTCAGTAAGGGTTATCAATGACGTTCAGCCTTCGGCATGATTACCAATCACACAGTGACCAGTAAGCCCTCCCACCAATAGTGAGACATGCGGTCTACCCGTGGCCAGAAGGATTTTGCAACCTTGCATTCCAGGGTCTTCGCCCAGCGCTCTTTGAGCTGACTAAACGCTCATCTGTTCCGAAGCAGACCACCCTACAGACCACAGGGGAACATCCAGACCTTCCCTATCCGGAAGTAATTCCTTGAGTGTTTCCTGTCTTACGAACTCATCGGCCATGTAGCTGCCAGTGATTTCGCTGAGACCGGAAACCCAAATAAGCTTAATAACGAAGTAATCAGATGCGGTCGATAGGGAAGTCAAACACTCCTTCACCGTTCTCGGCGCGCCGTCAGGAAACCAAGAGCCCTGATAGCTACTTGGCTGTCTGAATAAATATTCACCTCCTTAAAATGTGTTACACTAAAGAGCAACCAATCCGAAGCCTCTTTTGTCGCGGCCACCTCAGTCTGGAAAACGTTTCAGTGATCAGGTTGATGGAGAGTTCTGCGCAGAAGACACCTCCATCAACCTTTTCATTAAGCTTCGGTACATCTGTAAATAAGCTTACAGGGCGTCGATTCCGGATAGTGCGTTCCACCCGACGAGTACCCTATATAATAAAATTGGCTTGATTTTGGATTCATAAGCCAATGAACTACCTTCGTCGAGAGGTCCAGCGTTTGCCAATGGCCCCTCTACAACAGTATTGAGGCGTTCTTGACTCTTTCCTCTACGAAAGCTTCCGGGAAAGCTGTCAAAGACCAAGCCCAAGACCTTCGCCATGTAAGAGAGCCTTAGAAAAAGACCACCCGTTAAGGGAAGACGGCAATTCGGTATTTTATACCTCCTAGTAAAAAAACAAGCTCCGTTTTACCGGGATTTACACCCGCCCGCAACTATAAGTCCAGTTCTCAACTAAGCTCAGGTAACCCTGCATAAATTGAAAGTTTCCGGAAATTTTCCTTTTGTTATCAATACTATATCATCAGCATAGGCAACCACCCGACAGTCACTTCTTTCCAAAGCCACTAACAGATCATTGATGGCAACGACCCAAAGCAACGGCGACAGAACTCCACCGGGGTACATCTCCGCTCACACATCTTTGGATTGAAGTGCAGCCCCACTCTGCCCCGACAGTTCTGTTGCAAAGCAGGCGGTAAATAAACCAGACAAGGCCGGCTCCGACCTCTAGCTTATTTAGGGCGTTAACTACAGCCTCTGGCAAAACATTATTAAAAGCCCCCCTCGATATCAAAATTCTCTCCCTTGCAGTAAGCATGCCCTTGCAGTGAGCATGCTGAGAAGTCCCGCCATGGGAATGAACACCACTCTGACTACCCTCCAAAGCCCCGGAACATGACCCGTAGCCAAACAGCCCTTGAAAATAGACACCAAACAGCTGCACGACACTTACGGAGACTTCTGCAGTTGGGTTGGTATTATGTCGTCTAGGCCCGTGGCCTTAAAGGAAAAATAATAAAAAATAATTTAGCCTGACATTACGAATGTTAAAAAAAATCACGTGATCATTTGTTTGAGTCACTGTACATGAGGATGCCTCAGCAAAAAGTTGCGGTTTTTCCACCTGAATTATAAAATTGAATATACATATACTAAGAGATTCGCCAAAACATTTCGGTAGAGTACTAAGGTTTATGTGAGCTGGACCGATTTGAAAATAAATACAAAAATCTCATTATTTTGATTCTGTTGTAAAAATCAAAAAAAAAATGTATGCAGACCTTTTAAGTCTAAACTCTTCTATAATTTGAGGAGATTTTTTGGAAAAATATTTTTAAAACAAAATTTTTTTGAAGGTATTTCTTATTGCTTTTCCGAAATATTTCAGCGGAAGCCTTAAAAGATATTACCTTTTATAATTCCCAAGGAAACAGTACCGATGTTTTTTTGTATGGAAAATGACTCACCCTAATGCACATATATATGTAGATCGAAATTTCTTCTGGGCATATCTAGCCGAACCATACACACATATCGAGCCCTAAACGCCTAAAATCTTTTAAACGGGATCGTAACAATGAGATTTTTGATGCTCTTTTTTTACTTCTACTTTCTACTGAGATCCCATAAGTCTAAACCAGAATGGTTTTGGTTCAGTTACTCAAGTTTTTCGCAGATCAATCTTTGAAAAAAGTTAAAAAACAGCATCAAAAATCTCATTATATCGATTCGGTAAAAATTTTTTTATATTTTTTTTTACATATTTTTATGCAATTTTTTAAGCTTAAACCGTTTTGTAATTTGAGGGGATTTTTTCAAAAAACATATTTAAGAAATTAATTTAATTCATAAAAAAAATCAATTTTTGGAGGTATTTTCAAATCTTAATATTGTTGTGAAATATTTTGGTGAAAGTCTTAAAAGTTATTTGTTTTTGTTATTTTTTTTTTTTTGTTTTGTTTTCTTAAGTCTTAAAGTATAATTGATTTTATAATTGCAACGGACAGTACCGATTTTTTGTTTGTTTGGGGAGTGATGTTATCTAATGTACATATATACACATGTCAGTATGTATAGTAGCTACATACATATATATATATATATATGAGTCTTCGTAAATTATACATACTTATGTACCTACATATTACTATCAAAAGGAAAAGTGTTACACTTCAGTGAACGTCTACTGAAGTTGTCGTGCAACTTTAAGGCGGCATGTATGTACTTACATATGTACATATATACTTTTACATCGTATATGAAATGTCATTAGATTTTCGTCGCCGATAAAAGCATTTCAGCTTTCAGATTTACCGCCAAGTTGGTGCAGTAACATACATATGTACATTAGGGTAGTCCATAAAAAAATCAAGTAAACGATTTGGCTTCAGTTTCACCCCTCAATTGGTAATACCACTGTCCCAGGTATCACATTATAAATTTTGGTCCCGATTGGGGACGGTTAAGGCGTGTCGCACAGGGGGTAAAGTACAGATTCCTCCATAGAGACTCAAAAACTTTAAGTTATTTTTATTCATCTAATACGAAAAATCGATACCACCATAGTCGAAGATATCACTTATAAATTTTGGTCCCGATTGGAGTCGGTTAAGGCGTGTCGTAAAGGGGTCAAAGGCCAGATTACTCTAAGACTTGACTCTAGAGACTTGACTATAGTAGCATCGACGTAGGAGTTGGGGCTTAGGAAATCTGATGTAAAGGTTTGCTTCCTACATTTAAGAATCACCCTAACGTACATATGTATATGTATAAAAACCTATACAACGACGTATGCGGCTACACGCTCAAAGCCAGTAACAAAATAATAGAAATCTTGTCAATGGATCTAATTTCGTATAGTATAACTCGCATTAAAAAAGAAGCACTGATAATATATTTTCTCTGCCGATTGCAGCGGCTTCTTCGATGTGAGAGCACTAACAATTTAAGGTGATTTGGAAAGTAGCATTGAGTTTTCGTTTGTTTTATTAAACTTTTTTTAAAATGATACACATTCATACGTATTAAACTTCTTTTCGTTAGTTGCACTGTACATTTTTATTAACATTTACATAATATGTTGAATCTGGTTAAAATTTGAATGAAAGATTTGATAGACTTGTTTTGTTTTAGGCATACATATGTTTGTATGTAAGTAGATACATATTTATACACACGCTATGAGCCGTTTGAAGGGCAGTTAATTTTTAAAACCTACTTGAGAAAATGGCACTATGACAATTTGCACCTTATCTAAACTTAGTATGTTTCGTTGGGCAATTGACATTTATATGTACATACATACATATGTATGTACAAATGTTGGTGTACTCATATACTATATCTTGCTATTGTATGTATGCTTTTTTGCAACTTCACAATTTTTTATTTATTTTTTTTTAAATCCTTTAGTTTGCATCAGCATGCATTTAGAAACTACATAGTAGGGCTATTCGCGATCCGGTGCAAATGGCCTAGCATCATTGCATTGCAAATTTGTATTGCAAATAATTTGCAATACACAAACAAAATACACGCATTTGCATTTGTCATGGCTTGACAAATTTGCAATACCTAAAATCCATAGCATAAAAATGCTATGCATTGCATTCATAAACAAAACCAAAGCTGATGCACAAAAATTGTTTTGCAAAAGCTTTACCATGACAGTTTAATAAAGGTCGCTCACAATCCATGGCATATTTCTGCAATTGCATAAATTTGTCAGCTCTTATGCACCGAATCGCGAATAGCCCTAGTATGTTAGAAATGATTACTTTCCACTGTCACCAATAGCTATTACTATCTACTTTTTCACTTCACTTGCTTTTAGTTACACAAAATACAGATTTTCTTTGGCAGATGCTTGACATCGTTTACCTACTAAATACATCCATAAGTGTTTTACTTACATGTACATACATTTGTAGTAATGAAGAAGTATCTGCCACATAGAACGCACTAACATAGGCGTAGAGTTTCCAGATCTCTCTCTCTCTCTCTCTGGTTCCAACTCACGCACGATCGGCGACTTTGCAACTAAGAAATTTGTATTAGGGGTATTCTCTGAGTCTTGCAAAGCCCTTGCACGGTGCACGGATTGCACGGTTTGCAAAGCTGTCCCATACGAAAACCGGTTTTTACCGTGCAATCCGTGCAATCTGTGCACCATGCAAGGGCTTTGCAAGACTCAGAGAATACCCCTATTGTGACAATCTAATTTCCCACACTCACAGATGCACGCATACGCATACACCTAGCGACTTAGTGAAATGTAAAATACATACGAAGATGTTTTTATTTTTATTTATTTATTTTTTTCCGCTCTCACTCTCTCAATTTTAATATTGCTTCCGGTTTTGGTTTTCTGCTATGTCTACGCAAACAAACAAAGCCATTCGTTGGTATATCAAAATATGTCTTTAATCCTTCAATAAACTGAAACTTTTATGCAAACTAACTTCTTCAATGTTAAGTAAAATATTTTTTTTTAGTATTTTACTATTAAATTTTCACTTTACACTTAAAGTTTTCACTGAAAATATCTGCAAAGATCAATCACTTGAGCGCTCAGAGCAAGCCAACAAATTGAATGCGAGCAAATACATTTTTACCCTGCCATGCTGCCAGCTTGTTTGTAAATACGAGTCGAGTACTTTTTCTCACCTGTTTTAAGCACAAAAGGAAATATTCTAAAATTATCAAGAAAAAGCTTACTCTTATAGAGAGCGTCTTCTATGTATGGCTTCAAATCATTTTTATTTTTTTTCCCTGGCAGTATATTCTCGCCCACACTTTAGTTATTCCTATAGTACAGAGTATCTATGTACTTTAATATTTAGTTATCTCAGCGACACACCACACTGGAAAGCAAATCGACATACGTTTCAGATACATTCCTATGTGGAGTGTGACCAGATATATGAATAAATTAATGTTTTCATTTGAGAAAAAATAAGCTCTACATTTGATATCAATGATATACTTTTTATGTACAATTTTTAAAGTTTTCAACAAAGTATATCGTTAGCTTAGAGTGAAAAGTTGCTAAGTCACAATTTAAAAATTGTAGAGGAGAGGAAAATACTTTTTGTAAGCATTTTCTTCAAGTAGTTTGCAAAAATTTGAATACAACATTTTGCCTGTTTAAAGCAAAGCAAAATTCCATACGAATCAGAGGGTTTCGATCTTTATTAAAAGATTTCGACCTATTTTAGCCTTATTGCATTTTCCAAACTTTTCTGGACCTTCACGTTTTTCGAATCGACTCATTCTTAATCTCTCTAGCCTCCTGCATTAAAATACATATGAGTTTTCATAAAAAGTGGACTTAGCCACTTTTCCCTCTAAGCTAGCGATATGTTAATACGGGAATATTCACACGCAAATTAATTAGAGATTGAAGTAGGAGTTATCAATATGTACATTAAAGTGGTCCAAGTTTTGTATAGGTGAAAAAATGTCATCGTAGAAAACGCCAAGGCTCTCGCCTGGTTGTTTCCTTTCCTTTGTTTTTACGGCCGGTTGTTCAATGTCTGATTATCATTACCTCATCGTTATCGACGATTTCGACATCATGCGTATAACATGTGATCGATAAAGCAGTCGTTGTATTTTATTTTAATATGAATATTTGATGAGCATCGTCTAAATTTAGTACTTAGAAACGTAAAGTTTGGTGCCAGAACCTCTTTCGAGAAGAAGAAATATTTTTGAAGATGTCGCAAACCCTAATGCCAAGGTATTTGTGTGAAACTGTAGTTTACTAAATTTGTGTAAAAACATCCGGTCGCCCACCAGAAATCGCGCGGAAGACTACTAAACGTTTTACTTGTAAAAAAATCGTGGAGATGCTCTTAACCTCGTTGGCCCCTATTCTAGGACCTTCTTCCTAGAAACACAAAGCCACATATTTTACGATTGACAGTTATAACTTCAAAGCTGTAAAGGACTTTGTGTACATACTTTAAACCAACAAAAACTATACCCATAACAATGAAGATCAAACGATCAAGCAACATTTGCTTTTTAGGTATCAGGCACCGGCGAACATTTTCCAATGAATGAATTATTCTATGAGTGATCTTATGTCCTGTTCGAGTTAACTACTAGTATTGAAATATTAAAATAGTAATAGTAATATTGGTAATGGTAATGGTACCTACTGGGTGAAATGGGGTATAGTCGCTCTTCTGGGTATGCTATTTATAACAACACCGGCGCAAAAAGAAAGTGGGCGGTGTATTCAATCTACCGACATGTATTTCGATCTGCTGAATCTGAGGTCCGTTTGACTCGTACACCTGCCAAATTTCGAGTTAATTGCGAAAATTGCAAATTGTTTGGCATTTTTATTGTTTTTCGTTTCGCATCATCGAAGCGCTAACCACTTAGCACATCGATGATGCGGGATCGATGTCTGCTGAAGTCTAGAAAAAGAAGTCTGATGAGGAGATGTGGTGATCTCCGAAATGGCAGCTATAACTTCTACCACTTAGACCTTTTTGTCTTTTCCATTTGGTACAAAGCTGAATAACACCGTTAACATTAATATGCCATAACAAAACTTACAAATAATTTGTTTAATTAATGCTTAAAGAACAGGGGAAAATTGCAAGGCATACCAAAAAATTTTGATCGAAAATTTCCAATTTTGAGTATGCAGTTTTGTAGCCCATTAAATTATAGTATGATAAAGTGCAAGTTTTGTTGATTTTTGAGAATTTTGTTTGCCGAGGCTGTTGCGAATTTTCTTTCATATAACGCATGAACACTAACAAAATCATCAAAATGTCATCGAAAGCCAATTTAGTTATTCCGCAAAAAAATAAAAAATTCTAGTTCGTTGCTTAAGTCTTTTGTTTTTGCTCAGCGTGTGTAAAATCGGAAGAAATTGCGATGAAAATTTCTTACGTTTTCTCCGAGTTCTGTATAAAAAAAGGAATTGTGGTTTTTGCAGTGAGATGAACTATATCGTCAATGTTTTTGCAAAACCGGCATCGCCCAATTGCAAAACCGCCTATCTTACGGCACTCGAATTATACAGGAGAGCGAAAAAAAGATTTTTCTTTGAAGACGTTGCCTTGATAGGCGCTATTTTCTCTAGCAATTATTTTACAAATATGTTGTTTTAATCACGATTTTGAAATTTTTATGCATAAATATCGATGCGGAGTTTAGGGTTACCAAATCTCACTTTTGCCACAACGGCGATTTAGGCGGTTTTGCAACTGGTGGATGGACGGTTTTGCAAAAACATCGACGATATTTAAAAAAAAAGATATAATCTCGTCAAAACATCAGGGTATGTATATGTAGCTGCAGCTGTAGCTGAGCGGTTAGGGGTACGCATTACAATTCCGTAGGAACTGGTTCGAAAGGTTTCTTCTAACATCAGCGTACTGCCATAGTTGTTGAAACCGAAACTCTTTCTGTTGCAAGAAAAAAGCAGTGGTGTCAACAATGTTGCCAGATCTCAAACAGTTTTAACTGTAAAATACAGCCTTTTAGGCAACTGTTTCTTAAAATACGTTCTATTAAAAATTACAGTTTTTTTCGAAATTTAAATTTGAATAAATAAAATAAAACTTCTATTACGGTTTTGTTTGGAAGTAATTTTTAAGATAAATAATAAAATGATAGTTTAAAAAACTAAAACCTCGCTATTATAATTTCCATTCGTACTGTCATCAGGTACATATGTAACTTGAGAATAGAAATCGCTGCATCTTTTAGGTGCATCAATATTACGTACTTACATCCCGAGCTAATAAAAGGGGGGTAAAATAGGGCATGAAGGAGCGGCATTTATTCTCTTGAACCATATGGCGCCAGCTGTCCTTTTTATTCTAATCGACACAACGAATGCGGAAAGAATATTTTGCTGAATCAATTTAAATAAAATATGAAGTAAAGTAGAAATTCCTGTAATCTCTGATATTTTAAGAACTAAAGAAAATGTTTCTGGTTGTACTAAATTTAAGGAAAAATTATGAACCCGAAATGTAATTTAAATATTTCAGCTGTTTATATTTTTTTATTTTAAATGTATTAAAAGTTATTGTTTTTTTATCTATACTAATTATATAAAGAGAAGTCCGATTTTCATGAAATTTTGTATACAAATAGCTTTTGGTAACCACCATGTTTTAGGCTAAAAAAATTTTACTTTCTATCGGGTAGGTGGACCAGGGACCGGTCTATTCGAAAAAATCTTATTATAGTCCGATTTGCTTAAAATTTAGTACGTAAGTAGCATTTTAGCATATATTAGCATATATGACCCATTTTTTCCGGGAAGTGGTCCAGGGACCGATCTATTCGAAAAAATCGAATTTACGGTCCGATTTGCCTAAAATTCGGTGCGCAGGTAGCTTTTTAGCATGTATTAGCACATGTGATCAATTTTTTCCGAGAAGTGGACCAGGGACCGATCTATTCCAAAAAATCGCATTTATGGTCCGATTTGCTTAAAATTCGGCACGTAGGTAGCTTTTTGCCTGGATAAGCTTATAGATTCGTGTTTTCCAATTTTCATGCAATTTCGAATATAAATAGCTTTAAGTAACGACCATATCAAGGGGCGAATTCGTCACTAGGCAAGATTTTTTTGCGCCAATCAGAAACAACGGATACTGTCAAAATATAATTATAATATATATATATATCTCAACTAATATATGTATATTTAGAAAGCCGTTTGTTAGTTTTCGCAAGGCTCGAGAGCGTCTGAACCGATTTTTTTGAAACTGCCACCTGCCACGTGTCCCAAGGATGGTTTTAGGCTTGAAAAAATCTATATGTAAAGGGGGCGTGGCACTTCCCATACAAACCGAATTTCTCATGCTACATATCTCTGAAAGTGTGCATGGTAGAGTTTTGGAAATTGGTATGGAGATATACGAAATCAATCGCATACCCTTGGAGAAAAATTTTAGCTATTGTAAAAAGAGGTGTGACATCTCCCATACAAACCGAATTTTTCATACTGCTTATCTCTGGAAATTTTTTGATAGAGTTCTAGAATTTTGTATGGAGATGTACGACATA